GGGAGCCATCGGTTGTGTCCCAAATGAAGCCAACAGAGTACTTCGTAGACAAAATGAGCATGTCAGAAGATCAATGGATGAGAGAAGACGAGGATGGAGATGATACCTCTGACATAAACAAGCCGCAGGTACGGGAAACAGTGGAGCTTCAGTGGAGCTAGGGCATAACAAAAAAACAAAAACGACGCTGTTGCTTGCATACATATGGTGAGCATAACAAAAAAACAAAAACGACGCTGTTGCTTGCACGCATATGGTGAGCACAACACGAAAACAAAATCGACGCTGTGGAAGAATGGTATACCCATTGACTGTTGATAAACAGGTCTGAGTTCGAGTCCCACTGGAATCAGATAAGGATATGGTGGCTGGATTCTGAAGAATCATATGCACACGCGTGCGCGCACACAGACACATACACACTATCCGATTCCTTCTTGCGATCATCTTGGAAGAGAGCACAGGTCTTATTTATGCCCAATCAGCAGACCAGTGAAGTACTTAAGAGGGTACAAAGCCAACACAAACAAATCAATTAAGCCAACAAGAGCAGTTGAGCAACCCAACAATCTCCGCCGCATTGCTCTCCTCCTTTATACAGCTGGCATGTTGCAGTTATTACTTCTTCTACAAGAATCCACTACACCCATCCATAATGATTATCATGATATCATTACGAATTACAAGGCTCTCTCTCTCTCTCTCTCTCTCTCTCTCTCTCTCTGAGTCTCTCTCTCTCTATCTATCACAGCCACCCACCCACACACACACACACACATACACACACATACCTTTGCTACAGTTTTCCATCTCCGTTTCATCTCCGTTTGCACACAGAGACGAAAGCGAATGAAAATAGAATGCGAAAGGGAATCGAAATGAAAAAGGGGAGGGGCGTTCAAAGAGCAACTACATAGCGGGAAGAGAATTGAGGTCTCAGCATCTCTGGTGAAGCTCGGCTCCAGGTCCCTGTCTCAAGCCCGAGTTGAACTGCTGTTCATTTGGTTGTCTTCCTGCATGTTGCGGCTGGTGCGGCTGTCGCTGTCTATGCTGCTCCTGGAAGAAATCCCAAATTTCCTGGGACGTCATCGTGGCCTCTCCTTGCGGATTACGCACCTGAGACTGGCTGTAGAGTGACGACAAGAACTCTCGCTGTGCTTCGATCGGCTGCTTCTGCAGCTGCTTCAGCAGCACCATCTGCTGCTCCTGGGCCTTCCTCATCTGCTCCATTTTCTCCGCAAAAGCCTTCGGCCCGAGTTCTGCCTCGTCGCACGCCAACTCCTCCTTCGCCATCAACTCGTACAGCTTCAACATCACTTCGCGGTCGTCCTTGAAACAGAAACTCACCCTTCCCAAGCATTCGATTCCGAACTTCGGCTCGATACCCATGGCCATGAGCAGCTCTTCCTGAAGCTCCGTCGTCACGGCCGCCGGATCTCGGCCCGCGCGCACTGCATCCGACAACCGCTTCTTTACTTCCGGCACATCGAACAGTTCCATGTTTTGCTGGAAAAACTCCAACAGCTGCGCTCTTCCCAGCATGCCCGCCATCTGCCCTGACATGTCAGAACCCGGAGTCATCGGCGTGGACGGCTGCGGCGGAAGCTCCCCATCTGACGACACCCCTCCTCCTCCTCCTCCTCCTCCTCCTCCTGCTGCTGCTGCTCCTGCTTCATCCCCTCTGTCCTCATCTGCAGGTGACGCACTGCCAACGCCTGTAACACTCGACAGCCAACTGAACATGACTACCCCGGTCCTCAACCGACTCCTTTTTCCCCTTAAGGAACACCCTCCCTCCCTCTTTCTCCCTCCCTCTTTTTTATTCCTGAATGGTCCGATGGACCACGCATCAGATATTAAACTGACCAGAAAAGATACTACACTTGAAGAACCCCCTCCCTCCTCTCACTCATCCTCTCCCTTTCGGCGAGAACGGAGTACTATGCCGCTTTGTGTGTCGGTAACGAGTTTACGAGTTCCCCGCTACGCTTCTGGCAGCAAAGGGAGCCTCTTTGCAGGAATGCGGTGGTGTGTCGGAGTAGTTCTCACGGAAGGAAATTGCAGACCCCTCTCTCTCTCTCTTCCCAGAAGGTCCAAATCGCAACCCAGCCCGGTGGCGGTATTTTCATATTTGACGACCTGCAACAGAAAAACAGAAGCATTATATAATTTTGTTTTTAACTTTTTAGTAGTTTTTAGGTATTCTAGGCTACCTAGGGCGCTTTTTTGTTTTTTTTTTTGCTTTTTTTATAGGTTGTTGGATCCGACGTCCGGGACCCCCCTGACCGTCCGAGATGTCCGCGACCGGACGTCTGGTCGGACGTTGGACCGGACACGGTATGTCCGACCTAACGCAAAAAAATAAAAAATAAAAAAAAAATCATGTGGCTTCCACCTTGCATTAGGTGTATGCCACCAAATTTTTGGATCATTTGGGCCAGTAGAATAAATATTTTTTTTTTCAAAGATTCTAATCCCCACCTGTACCCCTCCTATCCCCACCAAAACCCATCTCGTACCGCCCCCCCGCCACCCCAAATACCACCCTATCACCAAATGCTCAGAAAAATCTGCAAATTTTTGTGGGGGGTCTCTAGGGCATGCGCAACACTGTGATTTTTTTTATTTTTTTTTTTAGTGCCAAAAAGCCATCGTCCGGAAATCTGGACGACGGGGGTACTTGACGTCCCTGGACGTCCGGTCTCCGGACCATTGGTAACCTAGCTTTTTTTTTTTTTTTTAACACCAAATGACCACTTACTGGGGGAAGGGCAGCCTCCACTAGTTTTTTTTTAGTTTTCTTTTTTTTTTTTAAGGCCCTTGTGGCATCCCTCTATCCCAGAGGCGGTACGAGAACCACCAGGATTGAGGGCTTGTCTTTCGGGCGGCTCCATCTATTGGTGGGGAGCTTCACCTGCTGAAAACCGGGTTCAGCGTCCCTTTGATACACCTTGTAGTACCCGTTGTTACTCCTACCATTATTAGTTACCAGTCATTGTTTCCTGGGGCTGTGGTTATTTATCTTGCCAAACCGGGACTCGTCCCGTGGAGTTGCCTGAAACACCCATCCCATTTTTGGAGCACCTTCTACTTTGTTAACCCAGCCCTGTATGGCAACCCCCTGATAGTTGTTACATTGACTGATATTGTAAAAACCCTTTAAGCCCTATACCCTGTTCTATCCCATGCATTATTGTCCTGTACTTATGCTCGATGACTAGGGAATTACAGATTCATAGCTTGTATAAAAACGCGCCCAGAGATGTTTATCGTAGCAATGCACAGTAGTGTAGTAGAGCTCCAGTCGTTTCCTTGGCTGTGCCTGTCTTTTGCATGGATTCTTCCGCTCCCATATATTCCCCCGTGCTGAGTTTGCAGGTAGTGGTGCCTCGGAGCGTTGTGTCACAGGAGGGGGGAGGGAGGAAAAGGGCGAGCGAAGGGGGGAAGGATGGGGCGAAGACTGTTGGGGGAAGCGATAACGGGGGGCTGTATTGCCAGGGCGGTCCAGGGGAGGTCACTGTACCAGGATGAAGTTGGGTTGCAGGTAGGGGACCTGAAAGTAATGGGAGGGTCTTCTTTGCCAGGACAGCTCTGTACTCCTCCAATTCTTCCATCGGATGTTAAGATTAACATCCAGTTCTGTATATATTTGAAACGGGTCCTGCCAGAGTTGGAGGTAAACTTCCTTTAGGGTTTCTTTGACCGTATGGTCCATTTCCTCACGGTATCCTTGTATGAACTGTTTCCAGTAACGTCGTTGGTCGCGCTGTTCCATTGGTGGGGAGCAGCACCTGCTGGGGAACGGGCCCAACGTCCCTTTACAGACCTCTACAATGCATCAAATTCGTTGAAAAGCCCACCAGCATTGATTACCCCAGGTAAACGGGGGATCGACTGAGCGGGTAAGAGGGGTGAATTCCGAGGTGCCTCTTCAGCCCTGCTATTGGGCGCCTGATTCTGTCCTGCTTCTACTACCGTCTTCACCCGAATAGAAAACCCGTTAATTATAGCCGTATCTCGTACAATTTAGAGTCCAGATACAGCTCTAATGACCGGGCGTTCTTTTAGGGTGAAGACCGTAGCACCTCTTGTTCGCATAGCTCTTCGAGTGCTTGAGGGTTCAGGGAGAGCAGCGTCGCTTGCACTGGAGGGCTCGGTAGAGGTACGGTTCAAAATTTTTCTCTGAAAAAAAAAAAACAAAGGAACACAAGCACATCTCAGGCTCCACATCTTTTTTTTTTTTTTTTTTTTTTAAATATTTATTCTTTTCTCAATTGCGAAGCAAAGGGGGGACCTAACACTGCTCCTAATTGTTCAACCCCCCCCCCCCCCCCTAAAAAAAAAAAAAAAAAAAAAAAAAAGGCTACCTACGGGGCACCTGGCTGGGCACCCATGCAGGCTGCCCAGTGGAATCATCAGCGGGAGGCTGAATCCCCCTTTGCAGTCTTAGGGGGGGTCCCCTAATAACAGATAAATGATACTGTTCAACCACCAGTACCTTTCCCAGCCAACATGCCGAGACGCGCTGGTTAACACGGAGGCCGCACTCGACCTCCGGTGGCGGCCAGATGCACCGCCGAAACTCGGCATGCAGGGCCCGGGCCCCATAGCTGGGAAAGGTACTGGCAGTTTAGGTGATAGTAATCCACCTTAACCCTGGTTGGGGTTCTCGGCACGAACGACTGCCTCACAACTGATTGCCCTCCAAGGAGGTGGGGACCACCACCCGCTGCCCTCAAGGGTGCCCGTCACGAAAGTCGAAGCAGACATCTATCACTCACCCACAGCGGATGCAAGACTCCTCCAAGGAGGTGGGGACCACACCCATCCACTGCCCTCTAGGCCATCCTCCCCCTCTACGAGGAGGTGGGGACCACCACCCTCTGCCCTCTAGGCCAGCAACCACCCCAAGAATCAAGAAAGGTCCATCACAGCCGGAAAATATATTCCAGTCCCAATGCCGGCACTTGTTAAACTTTATTAAAAAAAAAAAAAACTTTTTAATTTATTTATTTTTTTCACAAATTGCCAAATTGCAGCCAGAAAACGGATGCAAATACATTCCAGGACCGTAGATACATATATATATATATATAAAAAAAAAAAAAAAAAAAGAACAGAAAACAAATTGAAAAAGGTGTAGATACATTAAAAACAGAAAACAAATTGAAAAAGGTGACAATTTTATGAAGAAATGCAATGCAAGAAGCTTGAGTGTCACATAGCAGCATGGCATGCCTCTGTCACGCATGCCCACCCACAGATCTCAGCTGAGTAAGGGCATACTCTCTCACACGAGCGCCCAAAAATTCAACTTATTGAATTGCTGAGAAAAACACAAACGAACGCCTTTCGGCTAAAAATAGTTCGAGTGTAGTATCCGTTCTGATCAGTATAATATCCAATCCATTAACTAATTATTTATTTATTTAGTTAGTTAGTTAGTTATTTGTAAACGGAAGCGGACTCCTCAGTCAACGAGAAAAACAGATAAGAGATTGCTCGCCCAAGGGGAGGGGAGAGGGTTACGTTGGCACAGAGAGTTTTTGACAATGCATGTGGACGTAATTGTGGTCAGATGCATCCACGCATGGCCGTAACTGCCATCGGTCCTAGGATGTGCGCTGTGAGTACCCACAGAGAGAGACTTTTTGACGATGCATGTGGACATAATTGCAATCAGATGCATCCAGGAATGGCCGTAATTGCAGTCAGATGCATCCAGGAATGGCCGCAATTGCAGTCAGTCCTAGGGTGTGTGTTGTGAGTACCCACAGAGAGAGACTTTTTGACGATGCATGTGGACGTATTTGCGGTCAGATGCATCCATGAATGGCCGTAATTGTGGTCAGATGCATCCAGGAATGGCCGTAATTGCAGTCAGTCCTAGCGTGTGTGCTGTGAGTGCCCGAGCGAGCCAATTTCAGAAGCTCGTCCGCTCAAGGCAGCTGTTTGACTTCTCTTGGCCACTAAGGGAATGAATACTCCTTCATACTTGGCCTTTGTGAAGTGAATCTGCCTTCCATTACAGTCAGATACATACAGGTCAGTCCCTAGTTCGAAGAATAGAGTTTGCAATAACCCCAAGTCACGTTCTTACACTCGCACATCCCCGACGTCTTCCTTTCCAGTACCCGTACCTTCCCCATTCTATTACCCTTCTTCTGTTCTATACCCCTACGTTCCACATTCTAGTACCAGTCCAGTACCAATAGATTCCCTGTTCTAGTGCCCCTCTTCTATTCTAGAGTGCCTGCACATTCCCTGTTCTAGTACCCAATCTTCTATTCTAGAGTATTCATCCATACATTCCACGTTCTAGTACCCTTCTTCTATTCTAGAGTATCCATACATTCCGTGTTGTAGTACCCTTCTTCCGTTCTAGCACCTGTTCTAGAACATACCCCTCTTCCATTCTAGTACCCATACAATCCCCGTTCCAGTACCAATCTTCTATTCTACTACCCATACGTTCTAGACCCTTTTTCTGTTCTAGTTCCCGTGCCTTCCAAGTTCTAGTGCCCTGGTTCTAGCCAAGTACTGCACATTTCACATTCTAGTACCCTTCTCCAATCCTTGTGCCTGTTCCGGTCGGTACCCCTCTTCATTCTAGAGTACCCGTTCCCTGTTCTAGTACCGAATCTTCTATTCTAGAGTATCTGTACGTTCCACATTCTAGTATCCTTCTTCAATTCGAGTACCTGTTCAAGTACGTACTCCTTTTCCATTCTAGTACCCGCACATTCCTCATTCTAGTACCAATCTTCTATTCTACGACCCGTACATTTGTTGTAGACCCTTTTCTGTTCTAGTACACATAGGTTCCACATTCTCGTGCCCTGGTTCTAGTCTAGTTCCCGTACATTCCACATTCTAGTACAGTTCTTCAATTCTAGCGCCCGTTCAGCTACGTAACCCTACTCTCCATATGTTTCCCGTTCTAGTACCCGTACATTCCCCGTTCTAGTACCACCCTCCTATTCTATACGTTCCACGTTCTAGTACCTGTCGTCCATTCTAGTACCCTTCTTCCGTTCTAGTATGTATCCCTCTTCCCTTCTAGTACCCGCATGTTCCACGTTCTAGAAGCCATACGCTCTGCATTCTAGACCCTTCTATTCTAGATTCTAGAGTATCCG